GGGAGTTGAAGTCCACTCATCTTAAAGTGGCCAAGTTTGGACAACACTGATCTAATGCATTTGAAGGGCTCCAGGTCAGGGAAGGTCTGTTTTATTCAGGTCTGTTTTATTCAGTCAGTATTGATTTGGGCTGCGCAGCCCTTCAGATTCAATTCCACATACTGTAGGTACTTCAGAACATGGGAAAGCATAAGAGTGCCGCTGTCTGCACTTCTTTAAAGCAGCCACATATTTTCCTAGGATTGTGCAGTGGAAGCCAATAATTTTGGGGAAAGATGAAGCTGCTTTAAGCATTTGTAGGCAGGTGCTACATGCTTTGAAACAACTTTTTTGAATGAATCTGAAGCATGGTGCTAATCCTGGGCCTTTGCTTATAGTGGTATGAAAGGTATTTGTATACAGACTGAAACTGTTCTACAGAGCAGCCCCATCACTCAGTATGTTTTGTATTTAAACTACATTGTTCATAAGCGTTGGTACCAGACCCACTGACAGCAGCTGGCATGTGCTACCGAGAGCCACCATTGCTGATGTTGAATGGCCAGATTTTGAAGGAAATCCTTCTAGTTGTATAATGGTACTTTCTGGTCCTCTTTGCATCTCCCCGTATTCTCAAATTGATCCCAGAGGATTTTGTAACCCTCTGAAAGAGGATCTGTGGAAATACGTGAGGCTGTACAACGGGAAAGGAATGACTCCGTTCTGCTGACAGAAGTCTTAGTTCACACCTATAACCTTTTATAAAATCTTGGAGATTTTGAAATATTTTATTTCAGATATTTCTGTACCCCTTCTTATTCACTGATTTCAATGGTTGTTGAACAAAAAAAATTAAAACAAGTAAAACGCCACTCCTAGTCTGATAGTTTATAATGAAATGTCTGCAAGCAAAAAACCAAGCTCAGAGAGCACCAAGAACTCCACAGTTACAAATATAAGAAGAAAATGAATAAATCGGTTTTCGTGTCTAAGATACATCAAAGGTTATGCAGGTCAAAGATCCCTTGGAAGGGCATTCTGTAGACATGTGCTAATGCTGAAAAGCCTCTCTCACTGTAGTTGCAAATTCCACCTTGGATAGAGATGTTGGCTGATGATCACAGTCTAAGTGGAAGTGTTGAGATACAGTGATCTCAAGCCAAGCATTTCATTATGTCCATTGTATTACAGCTGTTTTTTTCTAATTCTTATTCATTTTTTTCATACTACAGATGAGGAAGAGGAAGATGAGCAGGATGATACTGATAGCACCTATAGCCTCATGGTTAGTTTGGGGTGCCAGAGTGATCTGCCCTTTATGTGCTTCATTTTATTATTAAGTTTTTGCTCCATTTTCCTCCAAAAAATAGGAGCAAGGTATCTGGTTCTCCCTTTCTCTTCAAATGTATTTTTCACAGAAGCCCTGACAGGTAAGTTGCCCTAGAGCAGTGTTCCTCAACCTTGGGAACTTTAAGATGTGTGGACTTCAACTCCCAGAATTCCCCAGCCAGCCATGCTGGCTAGAGAATTCTGAGAGTTGACATTGTACACTGTATTACAGCTGTTTATTATTTAATGTATTGTGGAAACCGAAAATTAACCCATTTAATTCCTTACTGAATTAAATGGGTTAATTCTAGGTTTGCCCAATACATTAAATAATAAACCAACCCAATAGGCTAGGCTCACAAAACACGCTAAGCTGCAAAAAATCTAACTCAGGTTAGAAATATTCAAATGTAGTATGCTGTGGAAATGGAACTGCTGGGTCTTTAACCATCCATGTATGTTTACAAATCCAGCTTCTCTCTCCACTTGACATTCATTTACTGTGAATTCTTACAATTATTTATTTGCCGTTTAACCCTTACCATCCCTCACTATTTTTCAAACCATGTTGAAGTGGTTTCTTATTATGTTTCTTATTAACTATTACACCTTCTGTACTACATCTTTACATGCTGTTCCTTTCTGCGCTTCCACTGGCAGTCCAGGTTGGTTCGTAACCAAATCCCCTACTTCATCTGGACTAATCGGCGAGATGTTATTGATTGTCGCTACCTGCGCAAGGATCAGATGATGAATCACTATGCCAGGGCAGGCACCTTCACTACCAAGGTGAGCAGAGGACTGTTTCATAAATACCTGGACCACACAGAAGTGTGCCTTTGTTATGTGTTGAGAAGAGGTATCCAAATCCAGCAGCTGACAGGATCTGAACAAAAGGACTTTATATACGCATGTGCACGGTCTTCAGACATTTTGTAAATGCATATCCTCTTTCTCAGGTAGGGCTGTGTCTTAACCTGCGTAACCTGCCATGGTTTGACCAGGCTGATGCAGATACATTTTTTCCACGGTGTTATCGTCTTGGAGCTAAAGATGAAAAACATGCATTTATTGGTAAGAAGTATTCACAACAACTGGTCAGCAGCAATCTGTTTCCCCTTGGCCGGATAATCACACTGGTCAGTAGATCAGTTAGAAAAATGGACAGAGCTCCTTTTGAGTTGCAGGGAAACAGGAAAAAAATATTGTGGGAGTTGCATGTGGTCAGCAGGCTATGGCTTGTGCGCCAGTGCTTTACGGGATGAAGCCATAACTACCTTCCTAGGAATTACATGCCTTTCTGCTTTTTATGGTAGAGGATTTCCATCTTACTGCAGCTAGGAGCCTTCTCAAAATAGTGGTGAAGCGAAACCGGGAGAAGCCACTTTTCGTGCCAGCGTTGGATGAAAATCAGAATGGTCAAGGGTCTTCAGGTGGGTGCAGCTAGTAGAAAATTTGGGGGATTTAAGAACTATAGTATCTTGCCAGTGTCTGTAGAAAGCCTGAAAGGTTAGACATCATGGACTAATACAAATGGGGAGAAGCACAAGCATTAACAAAAGTAGTAAGACAGAAAGCACAAACATGCTTTTTGTCTTACTACTTTTGTTAATGCTTAAAGATGGTTGCATCCTGTAGGGAAATAGTCTTTATCATCTGGCAATTACTATTTTAAGTGTTTGAATTCTAGTCTGTGAGTCAGAGCAGCACAGCTAGAATGCACATAGGCTTTGTTTCTTATATCTGAATGATGTTTTGTTATCCTCCCAGAACCATTTTAGGGATTCTGCCTTATTTTTCTTATTGTAAATGTCAGTAAAAATACATTTTACCTAGCTATTCTGCTGGCTTGCCCAGGTTTGATTAGACCAGGGATGTGGAGGTATTATCCTGCTACCGAGCTGAGAATTCTTTTAAAAAGAAGTTTGATTGCGAAACCGGGCAGTTAGAACCATACCGGGCACTTCAAAGAGTCTGAGACAAATTATTTTAGATTCAGAAGATACAGCTCTGGTGGGCACCACCTCCATCAGGTCCAAAGAGGTACCTCTGTTCATTTTGTAGATGCGTTGCCACTGTTTGGGCTAGCTTATATCTAAAATAATCCACTTCTGAGTTTTGGAAGAGTTTGCTTATGACAATGAATATCTGTTCTATCCACTTTTCATAAAAGCCCGCTCTAATAAGTTTTGAGCTTTCAAAGGGCTTAATGCTTATATTAGCAAAAACCAACTCGGGATGTTAGCTAGCTTGTTTTTGCTTTGATGCACACAAGTAGCCCTTACTTGTGGAGAATCCTGTATTAATAGCTAATAATTTTTTCCTCCAAGAAGCTCAAGTTGTCGTACACTGTATTCTCACTATTGTACTGCTTTGAATAAGAATAAAGCAAGAACTGATGGGAAGATGCAATTTCTTTATTTCAAGTCTTACACTCTTTTGCTTCCTTGCAGCAGTATTCACAGGTTCTCGCTGCTTTTGTCAGGATGATGAAAGCAGTATTACATTGCAGGCTCCAGTCCTTGGGGCTTGTGTGTGATGTTGCAATGCATGTAGAAAGGAAGCAGGGTTATGTCACAACACTGCTTGCATCACTCTGACCCCTTACCCTTGACCCACAAATGCTGCTGCTTCCTTCCTTTTAAACATTAGTTCCTGGGCATATTTTCCATAACCGAGGCCTGGGAGTCACTTAACTTGTCATTGATTGGACCTGTCCATGTGGAGGAGAGATCAGGCTTTCAAAACTAGGGCTATGAAGGGCTTCAGATTTGAAGGCAAAAAGGCTTTCTGGAACTTATGGGTATGCCATATAACACCCATTGGCTGTAGGCGTCTTTTCCCGGAACTTTCTGCAGATGTGGAAGGCAGCCACATAATCTTGGGGAAAGATTCAACGGTTTTAAGACAGATGTTATGGGTGCCCCTGCATGCTCCAAAGTATCTCCCTGTCTTTGCATCCAAAGTTCTGCACAAGTCTATTCAAAATACTACATTTGTGTATTACTAGCTGATTGTGAGAGAAAGCATTTCAGCTTCCCTCTGGTCCATAAATATGTATGTCACAATAAAATGCCATGCTATTTTTTTTTTTTTAAATCTGATTAACAGTTACAATTCTGGAATTCCTTTCTTAATACATAACATAGAAACCTTCTCAATCTGGTGCTATCCAGGCAGATGGAGAATAAAGGTCCCTTATTCCTACAGCCAGCATGCTTATTAGGGAAAGCTGTAGGTTGATACATCTGGCCTGTAAAAGAGAATGCAAAAGATTAAAGCAATATGCATCCCAGCCTATGCAAGTGTTAAATAAAGCTTGGGTTTTCATTTGTGGCATGTGTGTGTGCATTGACTCAATGGCATCCATGGGGGTGGGGGTGAGGGTGGGACGGGGTAAAAGAAAGCAAGATGGGGATGTGGTATTGTGGTAAGTCTGACCCTTTTGTACACGTACACATCTAGGCAGTCATCAAGAATCACTGACTTGAAAATACTTACATACAAAACAAGGGGCTTGCATCTTGACTTCCACCAGTTTGCCTTTTTGCCCCCTGCCCCCCCTCGGACACCGCAGCTTAGGCTGACCATTATCGTGTACCCAGTATTGTTGGGTCAATAATCTCTCACTTCTAGAAGCCAGGCAATGTGTCAACCACAAGAAAGGGGTCAATTTCTCATCCCAGCTAATTGAGACAGCAATACATGCTTGTGAGGAGCATTTGAGCAGCCTGAGACACCAGGACATTGACAGAGAATCTGGATCTGCCTTGCTACTGACAAAAGCACACTGGAAGGATTTTCTGCGTAGCTACTATCGGATAGCCCAGTAAGTACAAGAGTTGGAACTTTGTGGGGGAAAACCACCTGTTTCTGCAATCAATAGGCCTCATTTTTGCAACTGTAATGTTCCAGATTGATTTATGGAACTTGCGTGCATGTGTATAAATGCAATTGATAGGTTTGCATAGGGTGCGTGTAAATGTATGTCCGTATATGTTTAACCGTAATTATTTCTCATTCTTTTTGCAGAATAAGATTAGGTGATGAGGTTTTTTATTTACAGAAAATAGGGGTTTTAATCTTGACTTGGTAGCTTGATTGTGCTAAGGAGGACATATCAGGCAGTGGGACTGAACCATAAACTGTGCATCATTATCTTTTCTGCAATTCCTTTCATTTTCCTCCACCTCTCCCATTTGGCACATCCGCTCCTATCTTCTAAGCAAGAAGCTGTGCAAGTGTTCTGACTGCTGTTATCCTGGCTGCCTCTATCCTCCCAGATCCAACTAGAGCTTTGTCCAGCTGCTGGGGGGGGGGGGCACAAAAATCATAGCCAGGCATTTCCCAATCCTTCCTTGCCATGTTTAGTTTTTGTGGCAAGTAGAAAATAAAAATTAATCCAGCCACCGTGCAGGGGACAGACAACCTGTCCAGGAAGGAAGGACGGGGAAGACATCAAGGCATGATAGTCCCTTGACTGCAAGAAGGAGGAGGGAACTCTACAAAGTGGGGAGGCAGGATGAGGTGGGAGTTCCCACCAATGGGAAACCCTTTGCCCCATAGTTCCAAAGGAAGTATTACAATGCTGTCTCCTCAGAATTTCCTCTGGCCCTTCGAGGTAGTCCAGGCAAGAAGCACAAACTATGAGTACTAAGACTACCTTTATTGTGAGCTCGCAGTAACAGAATCTTGCAAGTCTGAAAGCATTTCTCCCCTCCTTTACTTTCCAGAAAACTAGGGAGGGTCCCTTCTGAGATGCTTCCTATGTCCCTTTTCCTTCTGTGGGCTGACATACCTTTTGCATGATGGTTGTCTAGTCTGTGGCTCTTCCTCCTGTCTCCCAAGGTCATTCCCACATTCCATTATAAGCAGAAACAGCTGAACGTTAATCAGCTCACACTGCAAAGTCCTATGCAAGGCCCATCGCTTTATGAGAATGCGGGGTTAGAGTATTAATCTCAGAGGGTGTAGCTGTTACATATGGAAGTAGTCTTAATATTCAGGAAGCCTTCCCACTGCCATTACAGTGGTCTTAAACTTGTTATGGATGGAATGCCAATGCTTGGAATATCATAGTCAAACCAGCTCACTCTGTTTGTCATGCACAGATTGTACTGAATGGACAGAGATGGGCAACCTTCTGACAATCAAGGGCTACAGTAGGTGAGGCAATGGCATGATGATGCCATGGACTGATTTCCAGTGGTTTTCCTGTTGAGGGGTGTAATGGTATGTGGGAATGACCTTGGGAGACCAGGTGAGGAGATGCTGCCTAGGGAATGGTCTGATAAGAGGGAGCACAGCTCACAGCTGCATATCGGGTGGAGCAAGAGGCTCAGAAGAATTACCCCCTAATTTCTCGGGGGTAAAGGAGATGACAGGATAATTGTACTTTCAGACTTGTACGGTTCTGTTAATGTAGCCTTACAATAAAGTAGAACTAGCTCATCTGGTCGTGTTTCCTGTCTGGTCTACCTGGGAAGGCTGACAAGGGGAGATGTGTAAGAGCTTCCAGTGTATTAACATAAACAGTTTACAATACAGTTTCCTATTTCTTTCTGTCCCCAAATGTAGGAAAGTATACTATTGTTTCTTAATGGTTTGCCATCCAAATGTAGTAACACTGTTTCTAGGGACTCAGAAGCCATTTGCCACCCATAGGCCACAGGTTATCTATCCCTGGAAGGGCACTGGGTCATGCTATTAGGTCAAGTATTTGTCATTACAGTGAAGGAGCACAGTTGGTGCAGACAGATGCCTTCATTGAGCAGTGTGATGATATCTTGCAACGGCTGGCAAAGGTCGTCCCACAGTTGGACATGGAAGGGGACAGGAACATCTGGATTGTCAAACCAGGAGCTAAGTCTCGTGGCAGAGGTAAGTACAGTGGCCTGGGATTAAATACCCCAAATAACTTGAGGGATGGAGTTGACAAAGCAGTTGAGAGATGCTTCAATCTGTGCTGATTTTTTGACTGGATTCACTCATCATACCAAACCATTTTGTTTAGTCATGGTTTGTTCGGTAAGAAACCTTTGCACCAGATGAATTTGCATGAGACTCTAAGACCAAACAAACCATTTTATGGCTAATTGTGATATGCGAGCTCAGATTCTGTATTTTCACATGATTGGTAAGGAACACTGGAAGCTGTCAGAAAACAATCCCAGGGTAATTTAACCTCAACAGGTGTCACCCAACCCTTATTTTTGCCTTGCTAACTTCATGGCCATCTGGTTTTCCAAAGCTCTTGATCCAGATTGTTTATAAACAATAAGCTGTACTGGTAACAGACTGTGGATTTGGGGTTTTAGGCAGCTACATTGTGGTTGGTTACAGCCATTAAGACTAATGGGGCACTCAGTAGTTGGCATGCTCAAAGTACTTGGAGTGGAATAAAATCTATAAAGTCACATCCCTTTTATCAGGCTTCTAATTGTTAATTATTTTATGAATTGTTTTAATGAGTATTAATTTTAATTTTAACTTTCTATATTCTGCTTTTGCTTTTTAAGCATCGTATTAGCTAGCTGAAGTACTCATCAGAATACAAAGGCAGGGTATAAGTCAAATAAATAAAGAGTATTTTCCAACAGGCATTATGTGCATGGACCGCTTAGATGATATTCTGAAACTTGTGGACTGTGACCCCATGATTGTCAAGGATGGCAAATGGGTGGTACAGAAATATATTGAGACGCCTCTGCTCATCTTTGGCACCAAGTTCGACCTGCGGCAATGGTTTCTGGTGACTGATTGGAATCCACTCACCATCTGGTTCTATCGGCATAGCTACATCCGTTTCTCTACACAGCCCTTTTCCTTACACAACCTGGATACGTGAGTTTGTCTTCTTGTTGGCTGTATCAGCTGTATGTTCCATATGTGGATGCACACAAGAGCAAGAAGCAGCAGTAAGATTTTCTGTCTTGTCAGGATTTCATTAAGAACTTCGGTTTAATCTATTCACTATCTTAATTGGTCATATGCTGGAGTCAGCAGTTCCTTAACTTTGAAATACTATTGTAATTAAACTAGGTCCTTTGTACAGAAAAGCTTACTGAACAGCAACTGTGAAATAGTATGTAATTAGATTTGTCCCATACAGGAAAGACAAGAAAAAGAAGCAGGATAGAATCGGGTGGCTTGAAAGGTGGGGGGGGGGGGGAAAGGGAAGCGCGAATACACTAGAGTGTGAAAATGAGTATCAGTTCAATATAGACATGAAAACTCACTTGAGAAGTAGATATAGTTGCAGCAATTAAAAAAAAGAGAGCTGCAAATGACATGTACAGTAAGATTATTTTGGGACAGAATGAGCAAGTAAAGATTGATTCAAAGGAGTTCTATTTTGTGGGAATCAAAAGGAGAGGAAAAACATTCCCAAGGAAGAAGACTGTATATTAAAGCAAGGAAGTGTGTGCCAGAAAGGCTGTCTCTGTAATAGAGTAGATGAAGTGCTGAGACTTTGAAAGACTCCCAGCTGAACTCTTTGAAGGCTATTCTCATTTATTATGGCAGAGTATACAGAAATAAGTAGACCGTTGGGATGGCTTGGTAGAAGAATGCTTCCAATATTTGTTTGCTTTGTTTCATTTTTTGAAAATCGAACTTATGTGATGATTAATTTTCTTACATTAGTATTGTTTATTGCTTTTCTGACAAAGAATTGCATTCAAGTCTATTACAAATAAAAAACAATGAAACAAACCTCATTAAAACACGATTAGCTTAATATAATCATCATGAACGTAAAATAACAATCATCATAGGATAAACACTAGTAGGAAAGGTTGGTAAAATGAGGCATTTTGATGACTTTTCTAAAAACAGAGGAAGTGAGGACTAATCACAATTCCAAAGGAAGTAGGTTCTGTAGTTTCAGAGCCACACAAGAGAAGGAGCTTTCCTATGTGCCCAATAAGCAGGTTTCTACAGGCTGGGCTTAGCTGGACTTAGTCCACATTTCCTGGGTTAAAATCCTCTGCCTATGACCCCCTCACAGTTACTGATCCCGTCTTCTTCTTCAACCCAGCTCCATCCACCTGTGCAATAACTCCATCCAGAAACATTATGAGAACTCCCAGAACCGTCACTCTGAGCTTCCCCCTGACAACATGTGGTCATCTGAGCAATTCCAGGCCCACCTGCGGCACATGGGGGCACCAGAGGCCTGGTCAAAGGTGATTGTGCCCGGCATGAAGGCAGCAATCATTCACGCCATACAGACCTCTCAGGACTTAGTGGAGTTCCGCAAAAACAGCTTTGAGCTTTATGGCGCAGACTTCCTCTTCGGAGAAAAGTACCAGCCATGGCTGATTGAGATCAATGCCAGCCCCACAATGGCAGCCTCTACTTCTGTCACCACCCGGCTGTGTGCCAGCGTACAGGAGGATACCTTACGTGTGGTCATTGACCGCAAGTATGATCGCAACTGCAACACAGGAAACTTTGAGCTCATCTATAAACAGGTTAGTGTCCCTGTCCAATTTATTGGGATGATCTACCTAACTTGGGTTCTGCCTTTGCAATTCAGAGTAGTATTGCTCACTGGTTCTCGGTGTGTCATCTCCCGTGTCCCACCAATCACTATCAAAGAAGTGGGATGGCAGCTTCCTATTCGTGGAAACCCCTGTCTCATCCTGGGCCTGAAGTCAAGATGTCATGGTGACTTTCTTCCCTGTGGTGATGGGGTTGGCGCTGGGGGCTTTGCTATTTCCCCTGCACAGTTGCTGGTGTTGAAATACAAAACATAAGAATAAAAGGATGAAGGCAGGAAGTAGAGCACTACTGCACTGATTTTCCCACACTCCAGTTGCATAACCAGTTGAGCCTTCTTTCCTTCACTTCCTTATCCAACAAAGCCCAAGGAGTAGCCAGGGAAACTCACGCAGTGGTATAAATGTAGCAGAGGGGTGAGTCTGTTCCGTTATTGGTGGAAGTTTTGTTGATGAGTCTAGGTGTTGGCCCTGCTTACACTGTGTGTGTGTGTGTGTTGTTTTGTTTCTTGGGCTTAAAGAAATTGTATCTAGGACACATTCGGAGCCCATGTGTAACTTACTTGTGCAGTATTAGCACCTAGATCCCAAATACAAGACAAAAATGAGCCCATCAGTAGAACTTGCACCTTTGTCTAGAACTTGATTATTATGTTTCTTTATTTTGATAGAGCCTTAGAGCTCTACTGCAGGCCATTACCCAAGGTAGAATTATGTATGCACACATGATTTTTAAAAAATCCAGATGCTTGAGATCTACATACTGGGAAGTGCCTGTTTTCTGTCCCAGATCTTAAATTCTTTCTGCATTTCTCAAGAATTTGATGCCTGAGACCTATTATTATTTAGAATGAAAATCAGAAGCACATTTACAGTGGTGCCTCGGGTCACGAACGCTTCTGTTCACGACCAATTTGGGTCATGAACAGCTCTGGTCGCAAAATTTTGCCTCCATTCGCGAACGCTGGATCAGGTCATGAACAGGATCCGCGGTCATTTTCCCTCCCGTGACACGTGATCCGTGGCCATTTTCCTCCCCTGACACGTGGTCGTAGGGGGGGGGACTCTCCCTCCAAGCAATAGCCGCCTCCCTGTCCTCCATGCCAGAACGGATTAACGGTAATTACATTGAACCTTATGGGAAAATTTGCTTCGGGTCGCGGAACCAATTAAGTTCGTGAACCGAGGTTCCACTGTATACCTCATTAATATTTCAGAATATAAAGAGTTGCCATAACCATTTTCATATTTGCTTTGTAATGGTTAAATGAGGGTGAATTTTTTTTTTGTTTTGGTGAGGGGAGAATTGGGCTCTAGGAATGTGTCTGTTGTTGAGTTGTAATGATACAATATGCACACCACTCATTCCTAGTGGGTTTTGTTTGTTTGTTGTTTTGATCAAAGGAATGTATGTATCCTGTTGATGTAGAATAAGGATCATGATCAGAACTATTTGGGTATTTATGTGCTTGTCTCAGCCACCTTCTCTCCCCTATTCACATTCTCTAAACAGGGGCACTATTGAGCATGATGTTCCTCTTTTGCACAATCACCCACACATTTTTGTTTGTTTATACTTGAATTCTGTGCTGATTGCAGTGTATTATAAGCACACATATTTCTGTGTCATTTTATGCTGGATTTTCAGAAGTACAAAATATCAGTGTATTTCTCGAGCGCTGTGTGTGGCTCTAAACATCACACTCATGTAACAGAAGGTTTAACTTCTCTGTTCCTCCATGTTCACCCTTGAAATATGACTTGGAGGGTTTGAGGATCCTCTGAAGTAAGTCTTGAGATACATAGAAGGGGAGAGGGAATTACTATTCTGTACCTTTTCTTCATATATGAATCTTCGAAATGCAAAATACCAAAGTTTATTATGCAAATCAAAATTCTTCTTTAAAATATTGTTTGCTTATAATTAGACCAATCCCCTTCCACCATAGCAAGAAGTAATTTCTGAATCTGAAAATTGAAAAGAATCTGTAGGAAATAGTATACCTATAGTATTTTTGAATTCTGGAATTATCTATCTGGAAATATCCTGGTGTTTATTGCATATTCGTTATTCTTTCTTCACTCATCCTTTACAGAGCATCTACATAACATTAACGAAGTGCTGTACCCCTTTATTCAATTGTGGTGTGGTGGTCAGCTGTATTTCCTCACTATCATTTGCAACAGACTAAATAGTTGGTTGGAGATCTTCTCGCGTTCGTGCTTGCCCTTGGAATAGGTTAATAGATTCCTTTTGACTTATCCCCCATCATCCACTTCCATCTTCTCATGATAGGCTGCTGTGGACATTCCCCCGTACGTTGGCACTAGCCTGTTGGTAGAAGGCTCCACTGTCAAGAAGCCTCAACCTCCGCCCCAAAGGAGCCCCGTACCTGCTGACACAAGGAATGGCTGCGGTGGTCCACAGCAGCAAAGAGTCCCTAAATTGATTCACCGACGCAGCAACCAAGATATTCCTCATATGCTTACCCCATGCTGGGCAGCAGCAAACAACAAGACAACAGAGCCAGGACCTCCTGGGAAGGAGAACAAAGTGAAAGAGAAGCCCACCCCTAGCAAAGCCCCTCCTCCTCCAGGGCCTGCGAGATCTAAGCTGCCCAACAAGCTCAAAACAGACCCCCGTAACCGAAGAGTGCTGATGGCACACAGCATGGCTACCACTACTGTCATGACAGAAGGTAAAGTGTCCCACCCAACTCAACTCTGTGCCAAATCAAGCTCTCAAGAATTGACTGCTAGCCCAGAGGAGTCGACTTTCAGTCATGCCAAGCCCACCAGCACGGCAGGTAGGAAGGCGTGCCTGAGGCTGCATCTGCAGGAAATCCAGCCGGTCTCTGGTGAGCTGCCTGTTTCTCATGCTCCCCTTTCTTCCTCCTTTCCTGTGAGGCCCAATGTGCAAGTGCATTTGCGATGCTTAGGACACTCCTTCATACATAACATACCATTGCCCCCAACTCCTTCATCCCCTAAGGGTGTGGATTTAGCCTCAGCTGTTGAATTCAATGCCATTAAAGCGGCTATGATCAGAAGGCGACGGTCAAGGAGAGGCAGAAACTGTCCATGACTCAGGAGCAGCCCTGCCCTCAGGTTTGCTGCTGCAGGCAGAAATCATGCTATAGGGTCTGAGCAGCACTTCTGTGGGTCTACACAGACAGGAAATCATGTTGCTGGGAGTTGGACTCTCCTTCCCAATAAAGGATTTTAACAGAAAAACTGGCCAGGGTGTGTGATAGCAGGGTGAGCTGCAGGTCAGGGTGAATGAGCAGCTGTTAGGACAACTGTCTTTGGCAACTGTGTGAAGAGAAGAAATGAGGCTTAGTCTGGGAGACAGGCAGAGACGAGAAAAACAGAGACTACGTGGTAGCTTGGAAAAACAGGGTTGCAAAAGTTTTCATAGGTGAAGAATTGAGTGATGTGCCCGCACAGAAAAGCAGAATATAAACATTTACATAAATAAAATAAAAATACAAATGTGAGCAGGGATGGCCTAGTACCACTGGCAAATGCAAACCAGAAGTCAGCTGTAATACATTTGAGCCAAACATGTTCAGTGTCAAAGAGAAAAGGTAGCCAGTATGGTGAATTCAGATAGAGAGGGTCAAGCAGGAATAGTCAGTATGCTTGTTCTTTAGTCCAGTCTTGGCATTACAGTGCTGTTTGGCTCATAATGAAGTGGGCTTCAGATGAAAATGGGTAAGAACTATGGTGACAGTGCCAATAAGAAAGGGCACTCTGAGTTTTTTGATCTGAAATGTATAGCTAGGTCCGTTCAGACAGGTGCTTTCTGTTGGACTGAAATAGAGTACGGTAGAAGGGTAGAAATGGGCTTTGGTCAGGGAGATCGAACAGAGGAAAAAGTGCTGGCAATCTTTTTATGCTGCAGGTGTTTTAGGTCAAGGCAAAAAGGTAAGGATGGGATGCTCTTATTTTATTACCTTAGATTTTAAAATCACTCAGATTGACCTTGTAGATGACATATCAAAATATTGGTCTTCAATTTCTGGGTTGCGAATAGGCATGAATAAAAGTCCAAAAAAGTCCATTCTATTTAACTGGCTTTTTTCAAGGTAGCAATTTCTAAACCACCACATTTCTATACCAGTTTTTAAATTAAACATATTTGTAGGAAAAACTGACCAGATTGGACCCAGAAATAGACAAGGGAACCCTTTCTAAAAGGTACAAGGTAGCTAAGAAGCATCTTCTATCCTTCTTTAATTTTTAAAAAGCAATTGACACATTTACATTTGTGCTCTTTGAGGAATAGAGCTCTTTCTGTGCTGCTTATTGAAATGGTCGTGTTAGGCTTTTAGGAATAATGCACCTGTACTGAGGGCTTAATTTTGAGACCCCCCCCCCCTTCAGCCAAATTTTAAAAAGCAAGTGAAACCCTCTCAGTTTCCATCACATTTTTTTTCCAGAAGCAGAATGAATATTAGCTTGGCTTCGTTGCAGTTAGCATTTGTGCTGCTGTAAATCTGCTAGTGGCAAAGTGTCCAAATCTATTCTTTTTCAATCTCTTTTGTTATCTCCAGCTTACTTCACATGCTACAGTGCATTGCTTCTCACGCTGACACAGATAGTTTTTGTGTTTCTTTGAAATTTGTTATACAATTGTTATAAAATATAAAGTGAAATATCTCCACAGAATGGTCACAATGTTTTGCCTCTATGGACCCAACTTGAAGGAAGGTGCTCCACTTTGTATATTCGTCCGAACACTGCTCACGTAAATAAAAAAAACAGGGTTGCATAAATTGGGGAGGTGGTGCTGGTGTGTTGAGGGCCATATTTGGCTTTTGAGTAATATTTTGGTGGGCACACCCCAAAAGGTAAGGAAGGGCAGAACAAAAACTGAATTTCATTAATGTGGTACTTTGGATTTGTTTCAAAAAGGTGCGTCAGAACATGTAGGTACATGAATATAGCACCTGTCTGCAATTCTTTAAAACGATAATGTTTTATTGTTCAAGAATCATGAGGCTGTCCTCTGCAGCTACTACATGATCCCAGGAAAAGATATAGCTGCTTTAAAGAGTTAAAGACATTCATGCACTCAGATGTGCTTTCTTGGAATGAAATTCAAAGTATTGTACAGGCCTATTAAATACAGTTAGTATGATTGTTCCTACACGTTAAACAGTGCCATCTTGGTGTCTCATAAAACTTAGTTCAGCAATAACTTTTTGAAGGGCTCTGCAACTGCATTGAAGTTACTGGGAGGCGAAAATTTGCACATACAAAAACATTGTTTAAGGCAGAAACTTCAAAGAAAACCAAAACAACTCAATGAAAGCTAACCTTGTTCAAGAGCCCCAAAACATTGGTTTAAGTGTTACTGGAGGAGGAAGAGAAGGAACAGAGCTGAGAGTGGCTAGCTGAACAAGAAAAGTCTGTAGTGCATTACAGGTAGTAGTCACTTACAGACCGCAGTTGGGACCAGCAACTCCATCACTAAGCGGCATGGTTGTAAAGTGAAATGTTATGTGACCGTGCCGGCTTATAACACCAGTCTGGCTGCAGTTGTTAAGCAAATTACCCATGGTCGTTAAACGCAACGACACGTGACTGTGACTTGGAACTTCCTGCCAGCTTCCCTATTGTCTTTACTTGTCAGAAGCTGGTTATGAAGGTTGCAAATGGCAGTCATGTGACTGTGGGATGCTGTAACCATTGTAAATGCGTGGTCGTTGTCAAGCACCCGAATTGTGATCACATGACCACGGGGACACTGCAACAGCTGCATCTTTGAAGACTGATTGTAAGTCTCCTTTTTCAGCACCATCGTAACTTCGAACAGTTGCTGAACAAGTGGTCAGTAAGCGAGGACTACCTGTATTTTGTTGTAGGTTTCATTTATTATCTCAATAATCTGTAAATGGACCCTGTAAAGTAAATCTCTAGCAGTCACTGATTGTAGGTGAGGTCCCCAAGGCTGAAATTACAGCTTGTGTTGGTGAAAGGGAATAGCCATTCCTTATATAAACTTGCAGTCTACTATCTCTATGGATGTTGTGACTGAGATCAGACTCATATTTGGGGCTACCCAGCTTGTATTCCCAAGCCATTATGCAGCACTGTCTTTGAGATTCAGTGACGGAAATATTGCAGTTGAGTTTTAGCTGTCTGGAGCACAGGAGACCTCCCACCCCTCTGTCTCAGAGTTACATCCTTGGAGTGTTCCATCAGACAAGTTGCAATGCAAGTTTTGTTCAGCCAGATCTCCTTTCCTAGAGAACACAGCAAAAGCACCCCCCAGTCAGCCCATAAAATCCCACAGAATTTGGAACAGAATCCTCCTCCCCCTTATTTTCTCCAGATTTCATTCTCCTCCATTTTGAAAAGCCTTGCTCCCTTTTTCTGTAGTTCACATAACGTTTGCTATGCTCAAGATATTTTTAACCTGGTTTCTGTTTGAAAAGTTTCTGCTCCTTAAGGAGAGCCTGTGGTTTGCAATTTGTCTGTCTTTGGCATGCCTTTGCTTTTGTGGGCCTCTTTGGCCCGTGTGTGATGTTTTTCCTTCCATCTCCCAGAATTAACCTTTTCCCCCTGTAGAATTGCATCCCCAAACTGGTGCCCTCCAAATATGTGGAAATGCAATGTCCAGAATTCTTGGGAATAGCCACTTCTGGACAGAACCAGGTTGGGGAGGCTCTATAGAAATTTGTCTTTATGGTTTGCTGGTAGGTGCGAATTAAAGCGTAATTAGTTCGGGAAGGGACATAGGGACAATAATATTGTCTTCTGTCACCCTTCAGTTGCAAACCGGAGTTCACCAGATATTTACCTAATTTCTGAGACTGCTCAGTAGCTGTGTTTTTCCTTTGACGGAATAGCTTGCCTTCTGCATTGGAAGCATGTTTCACTGTTTAGAGCTGTCCAGTGCTCACCAGTAAGCCCACGTGCTGTGTTATTGGTTCCTCTCCAGGCCTGGCTGCTCCCCGCAGGCTCCCTTGTCTCTTCCGCAAAGATGGAAAGGCTGTGGCAAGTTTGCAAAGGCTGCGTTGCTGCTCCGGAGCTGGGCCTTTACTTCCTGCAGCTCCCAAATTCTTCTACCGCAAAGCAGTCACCACTTGCCAGGCTCAGGTATACAGTGAATCCTTAAGGGCCAGAGGGCAGCATGCCTCTTGCCCTAGGAAGACTTACTGATCAATCCTGCATGTAACGTGATGGCCTCTCTGGGTTTCCTTCCACACCCCCACCTGTCAAGAGGATGGTCCCAAGCTATTTCCCACTACAGCCTCTTGCAGAGAGGTCACCCCACCCCCCACGGACCCACTTCCTTCTCCCCATCCAGTAACCATTCACCCTTTCTTCACCTATATGCCTAGGATCAGCAGCAGCTGCCACCTCTTGTACCAGCTTTTGAAAACCAGATGTCTGTATTGCCTCGTGTGGGGGGGAAAGATTCTGAATCCGCACTGAATAATTCTACCCTGGCGGCTGACTCTGTTTCTTCATTCTGATAAAAAGGGAGGAGGAGGAGGAGCTCCATGTGAGTTGCCCTTAGGAATTCACCTTGCTTTACCAAGCAATGCTTTTTTTTTTAGTGGTTAACCTTCTTTCTTCGAGTTGGTGCTGGGAGATGAAAAAATAAGTGGCATTCAGAAGGGGGAAATGTGACTTGTGCTGTAGCTGTCTTCAGGAGCTTTTCCTTCCTGGGATTGGATGATGTTCTGAAGTTCTCATTCACCTGTCCTAGAAAAGAAGTGTTTTTTGTGACTCCTTCCTCCTTGACATGTAAGAAGGGAAATGACTGAAAGCCATGGGAAAGTATTAGGGGGAAAAGATGGCCAAAAGTTGCCAAAAGCAAGAGAAACTTCTAGGCCCAAGAGCAGTGTTTCTCAACCTTGGCCACTTCAAGATGTGTGGACTTCAAGCCTGGCAGGGGAATTCTGGGAGTTGAAGTCCACACATCTTAAAGTGGCCAAGGTTGAGAAACAGTGCCCTAGAGGGTGTTTGAAGCAAAGATTAGGGGGAAAAGCCATTCAAGAGTCATCCTGCAGGCTGTGCTTGCAGCAGAGAAGCCAAACTCAGAAAAATCCCTCACCCTTTTCAAAAAGGAAACCATTAGTTTAATGGATAATCGTGCAACTTTACAGCAGTAGTGCTGAGTTTGGTGCCTCTAAATGCTGTATTATGTATTATGAGGAGACACAAAACAATTATTTTGAACATCCTGCTCCAAGTGTGTGCATATTTCACAATAACTCTTTAGTGGCACCCAACTTATGTGCCAGCATAATCGCTGACCAAATTTCCCTGTGTATCTGTGCGCAGAGCAGCCAACCCAATCCCCAATCTTGCCAGAAAAATACATCTTCCTAAATACTTTTTTTTCCATGGCCCTGGTTTCCCCCTTACTCACCCACTTCCCCACAAGCCTTTTCCTGCTCTACTCAGTATTCACCCTCTACCTTACTCCCTTCAAATCCACTACACACAAACATAGTTCGGCCATAGTGACCTCCTACTCCTCTACAACAACCTAACATTCTCTGAGAAAGTGGGCATCTGCAGAGAAGGCCAGTGAAGAATTGGAAGCATATGCTTTTTGTCATTAAAAAAAAAGTGTTATGGCATGCATGGGAGTATAATGGGGGGAATAGGGCAAGCCTCTGAGAATACTCTAGTGCCCATGGATACGATATCAGTAGCTCAAACTTTGGAGGGATGACATTGGTAGTGTATGTCCTGGAAAACTGTCTATTTGAGAGTGGAGAGATGGATAATGCTGTTCCATCCCTAATGGTCCCTGCGCCTTTCTTAACTAGGTTCAAGAGTACAACCTGCTTTGATTTAGTTACTTCTGATTGGTAAGGCTGTGGAATGCTTCTGTGTTGATGCGGAAAAGATGATATGGAGTATGTGGAGGCATGCCTGCAGCACTTGTCCGTGACTCGGGAAAGTAGCCATGCCTGTTTCCAGGATTCTGGGAAAAGATATGGCTGCTTTAATGAGTTGTAGCCAAGTGCAATATGTGCATTTCTGTACACACTGAAGCATTATACAGCCTACTGATTCTGGTAGGACATATCATTTGGCTACAGCAGCACATTACCCTGAATTCTGTTTTTTGGTCAAATAGTCTAGGATGGAAAGTTGGGGACTGGCTTGTAGATAAATAGGGTTGCTTCAGCTTGTCACTCAGGTGAAAATGCAAGCGATTGGAATGCCACAAGGTTTATTAAATGATTAGCTGCAGAAAGACATTGAGACATGAGATAACTCATAGATTTTGGGTATGCTAGAAATGTTTCAATAACCACATTATAAATAATCATGCTTTTCACTAGGTGTCCCATAGTTTCAGTTCAGAATATGATCTCACAAATGGAAATGCTCCACTAGAGAGAAACTACTGGCCCACTAAAAGTTACTGGACTATAATTACCAACTTACCACCATTCATCATGCTGGCTGGGAATGATGAGATTGGAGTACAACAGCATCTGACAGTCTCTAATTTCCTCACTTCTGTTCTTCCTGTTATCTTTCTTCCATATTTTGAGGCACAATCTGAGGTTTGATTCTCATCTAGGAAGCTCTAAATAAATAGTGAATCTCCAGTCTGATCCATGAAACCCTGTGCCTCAGCATATTTCTTTTTTACTTTGATTTTTCCTCCCCCTTTTTGTATTTCTCCTTCAAGTTGACTTTATTCTGTTACTAGAACAATCTAAAATGGTTCTTCCCAACCTCACTTGCCTTTCTAAGTACTTCAGTCTTCTCCAGAACTTGCTGCCCTTAACAGCAATTCAGGACTCGTTACTTTGGGGACATTTTCTGCTGTCTGTATTTGCTTCGTCTTCACATTATTGTATTTAATCATTATCAAAATTTTGGTAAATGTTAAAGTTTGTTATTTCTGCTTATAGTGGACAGTAAGTTTGAGCATGGAAGAAAAAGTTATAAGTTTGCTTTATTTCTTTTAAGCCACTAGCTAATTTTAATTTTTGCTGGTGGATGTATTATTTGATTTACTAGTTTTTGAGGTCACATTTCTTGTTTAGAATTTGATTAATAGGACTTTTTGACTGATTTTTACATTGATTTCTAATTGTGGAGCAAATAATTAAGCAAAGTAGGGTCAAATTTTGATTTGGTTTATGGAATGCATGTAACAATGGAATTTGATTTTTCCCCCCTTGGGTTTTTTGGAATAATTTATAGTCTTTACTAGCCAGAGCATAAGCCCCACTGAAGGCTTAGGAGTGTATTTTTATTGCTTTTGGGTGAAGTATTTTTATTGCTTTTGGATAGAGAATATGACGACTTGGAGCGGAGGTCAAGGCCACAACCTATTCTGTCCTCTTTCACTATGACTGTAACTGTATTTGTATTGGGCTTCCTGAGACCTTTCTTGGAGGGCAAATTCATGTTCCCATCCTTGTTCTAAATAGCTGACAGCTTCCGTGGAAAGCCTGTGTGGTTTCTGTATAAAAGAATCCACAGTACTTTCCTTATAATGATCAAGGAAACCAATTCATCATAATAACGGAGTACACATTTTGTATGCAAAAAGTTCCAGAATCCATTCAATTCACGAAGAGTCCTTAGGTAGGACTTGTATAGTTTTCTGCTTGTGATCTTGGTGAGTGGTGATCATTGTGAGACACAATGTTTGTGATCTTGGTGAGTTATTAACAGACACAATGTTTAATAATGGATTTAATGATTCCTAAGTTTAGGTCTCCAAATATTGTAGGACTGTAACTCTCATCAACTTAAGATCCAGGGTTAGAAATCTCTAGACCAGATGGACTAATTTACTCTGGCACAAGACTGCTTTTTAAATAAACGACCTTGAGGTTTCCACATATTTTAGCATGCTACTTCCATGCTATCTATCCATTTTCCTACTAGTCCTGGCGCCATACATAAAAGGAACCTGACAGTGTGTCATATAGCAGATAATCCCCCCCCCCAAATCTGCTAAATTTCAGTGTTTCAGATTTTCGTTAATATGCATGCAGTATTTTTCTTAAAATGGCAAAGAATACAATAGGATACTAAAGATTTTATATATTTTTAATAATTGGTCTGCAATCCGTAAAATATGTGCTTTAGATAGTCAAGTATATCCTCATTTTACCTTTTACATATTTACACTAAGTTTTTGTAACAGTCTGGTTTGTAAATTCTTTGTAAAACAATAAATTTTACTTTTGTAATATATTAGTCTAATCTTTGGAGAACTGTTTTAATGTTTTAAGTAAACAACTCAAAATTTTTTCAGTGCCATCAGAAAAAAGAAAATGGGATAATTTGTATATAGTACTGTTTCTCAACCTTGGGAACTTTAAGATGGGTGGACTTCAACTCCCAGAATTTCCCCACCAGCCCTCCTTGCTGGGAAATATTTGGGGGTGAAGTGCCCCCACCCAAAAATTTCCCAGGGTGAGGAAAACAAGTGA